GGGAAGGTGGTCGGGAGAACTGATATCAGAGAATGGATCACCCGAAGATGGAAGGAACAAAACCAGCCTCAGTCCAGACAAAACTTACAGTCGGTATCAGGGAACAACCTGTAGATTCTATCTAATTACTTTCCTGTCTCCCGCCCTGCGTGCAGGTACTGACTGTCCTTAACAACTAGTACACATTCCTGAAAGGACACCATTGCCCGTGAAATTTCTGATGCATATACATGCCACACACAGGTGTCTCCTTTTCCATTATTTCCCTCTCCCTTTAAACAATTATCTTATATTGGAGTGAATTTTTATATTTTATACTTTTACATTTTAAAGTCTTATCTTCACAGTTTCTGATAAAAACTGATGGGAGGGTAGTATCCCAGAAAGGGCCCTCCCCTTCTGCTACGTCTCCACTGTATAGACCCTGTACCTGCCAGTGACCATGCCAAAGGTTTTACACCTATTAGTGCAGCTATTCCTGAGAACATCCTAGGAAATAGGAATTTTTATAATCCTTCTTGTACTGAGAAAACGGAAGTAGGGATCATTCAAGTCATGGAACTCAGTTCTCATTGGTAGTAAGAGGCAGAATCAGCATTAGAATCCAGCCCTAACCGGTTTGGCTCAGTGGATAGAGCGTCATCCTTCAGACTCAAGGGTCCCGGGTGATTCCGGTCAAGGGCATGTACTTTGGTTGTGGGCACATCACCAGTAAAGGGTGTGCAGAAGGCAGCTGATCAATGTTTCTCTCTCATCGATGTTTCTAACTCTCTATCCCTCTTCCTTCCTCTCTGTAAAAAATCAATAAAATATATTTTAAAAAAAAGAATCCAGGCCACCTGGCTTTTGAACTCTTGCTGTTAACTTCAACCTTCTCATTTCTTCAAAGATACAGGGACCTGCCTATGGTGAGGGGGAAAGAATAGGGTCCTCAGAGTATGTCCTTTGATGTATAACCTGCTTTGCCACTGGGAACTGTTATAGGATGGGAGACCACACCTGGCCTTGTCTCTCTCAACCACTCTCGACTCCCATGGCAGATCCCATATACAAAATATGTATCCTTGCCTGTTGGTTCTTTCGTGAAAATCAAAGGCACACCTGCCGTGTCTTTCAGGTAAGTATCTATAGCCCATGGGGAGGAGAAGTGAGGTTATTAGAGCTTTGGGGGCCACTTCATGCATGACTGAGGTTGAAGTTTGTAATTAGCCTAATGGTAGCACAATGCAGCTGCAGGTTCTGGAGACCCATATGTTTCCAGGCATTAAACCTACAGGTGCATGACTGTGGGCAAGTGTTGAAGTCTATGGGCTGGAGTCACTCAGGCATTGGTGCTGAGGTTTATTATCAAGGGACACAGTATTTTCAGGGCATGAACAGTAGCCCCAGAAGGAGAAGATGGCTGCCGACGGAAAGGCAGACTGCAAGACAGTGTGAGAGTGAGAGAAAGAAAGGAGAGTGTGTGGACATACGGAGAGTGTAAATTTGTGGGTGAGCGATTGCTATACTCCAGGGGACTGTTGGAGACTTCCGCATAAGACTCCCCTAACCAGGCAGCCTCCACTGCTGCTGAAATCTCTCCCAGAGCAGCTGGCTCAGTGACGGAGATCGCGCCATCTTGAGTGGCTGATATCAAAAGTGTATACATCCAGAGACCCTGCAACCACGGCACCCAGGGACCAGCTACGAACCCAGGAACACTGGATTTCAAGCAGCACGAATACGTGGACTCAGAGGATCCCTGCTCCTCCTCACAGAAAGGTCAGATTTCGCCTAGATAAAGGTGCGGTTTGTAATTCAGGTTGGAGAGAGGAATGCGCACGGGGGAAGTCTGCACCCCACAAAGTCCACGGCCGTTGGGGCCAGCGTGATCCGCAAGTGTGGAAGGGGTCCTGCAGGGCTGCTGGCCGAAGGGAACTCTAATAATCAGCCCATAGCTGGACTGGGTGCAAAAAGGCAGCCTTGGATTTTGCCAGTGTGCCGGCTGCTTAGTGCCAGGGGAGAGAGGATGTGTGGAAGAGATGCTAGGAGAATTGCCCACAGAGCTGGACGGTGGAGGGTTGCGAGCTCTTTCACTTACTCTGGCTCTGTTTTTCCCCTCCTTAAATCTTTGCTTTTGATTATTAAACCCAATACATAGGACTGCCCAATTGGGGTCACTCACAGAGACTGCAGGGGAAAGTTGTTTTTGTGGAACCTGGGAATCAGAGTGGGGAGTAACGATCAAGGAACCAGCTCTGGGGCAGTCGACTCTCCCAAACCAGTATTAAGTGCGATAGGGAAAACAAAACCTAACTACTGGCTAGAGAGGACTTATAGCCTCAGAGGTCAATCCAGAAACACTGCCACCCAGGGGCTGAACCACAACTGGCTTGGTGGTAATGAACTCCTCTCATTTTTTTTTTCCTTGTCTGGGAAGCTCTTTATCTTTCCTTTGATTCTAAATGATATCTTTGCTGGGTAAAGTAATCTTGGTTGTATTTCTTTGCTTTTCATCACTTTCAATTTTTTTTGGCATATTAGGCTTTTATTATATAGGATACCTAGACCATTTCAAATGTTTATAAAACATACACACAACAGTTCCCTCATACATCTCATATAATTATTAACAAAAAGGAAGGCAACAGTAAAATGGATTAGGAAAGTGTGTGTGTGTGTGTATATATATATATATTATTGTTGACACTTGTGAAAGTAGATTTAATTGGAAGTTCCAAAAAAGTCCAAGCAATTTTGATAATGCTGGTCCTTCCCTTTCCCTTGACACGCATGCCCTTGAGCACCGCTTTAAGCTTATTAGTCAAGATTAGGGACATATTTAGGTCATAGATATAGTGGTACATGTTAATACTGAAAAAATAATTAAAGTCTCTAGATTCTCTCCATAAAGCAATATTTTCCCATTATTTCTTGATTCTTCATTTTTTACACACATTCTTTTCCAGGGTTTCTCTCTAGTTCTCTTGAGTTGCTTTCTTTCATTCTAAAAATATATCTGAGTGCCTTGATTACAAAACAAGTTTTAGCCCAGAGGTATTCTGGTTTAAACCATACTCTCCACAGCTCACAGGCCACACACACACTCACCCCACATACACCTGACAGCTGCACAGTCAGCAGTCTCAGACCTGAAGTTCATGGTCATACATCAGGGCCAAGGCTTCACATGGGCTCATTCAGAGAAAATATACTAACCCTGAAGTTACAACTTTGCCAGGGGCTGGGACCGCAGGTAGGTGATGCCTGGTTCCTGGCCTCCAAACTCATAACCTCATCCCCCAGAATAACAATGCTATAGGAAATAGCAAGGTAGTTAGAGGGAAGAGCGAAGAGGAAAATTTCTCATTATTTGAGAAACACTAACATAGCACTTACTCTTTGCCAGCTCTGTTCTAAGTGCTTTACAAATATTAACCTGTGAGGTAGATACTATTATTCACATTGAAACATGAAAAGATGGAGGCCAGAGAGGTTAAGTAACTTGTCTAAGATCACACAGCTACAAGATGATGAATTTGATCCAAGCAGTCTGGCTCCAGAGTCTGTGCTCCTAATTATGACTCTCTGCAACCTCCTTGAGCCTACTCTCTACCTTTCTAATCCTGCGATAATTAATAATCTGTTTTCATTATCGAAGTAATAGAGAGTGTGGGTGGGGAAAGGGCTTGGGCTAAGCCCAGAATCTACCTTTCCAGGCAAGCAGAGGAGCAGAAGCTAGAACAGGGGAGTCAGGGAAGGAGGGTGTGGGTTCAAGATCTGTAGAGTGAGAATCTGGTTCTCCCTGGCCAGACATGCTTGGGGATGGATAATGCTGGTAGCCAATGTGGAGAGAGGTGATTCCAGGCCTGGAGGCCATTCATAAATAGGAAATAAGCCAGAAGTAGAGGTTAAAGTCTGTCTGAACTGATAAGAGGACTCTGTGGATGGAGCACATTGGAAAATGAGCCAAATCACTGTCATCAGAGAAGCATATAAATAGCATTAAGACCTTGGCCTCTTTTCCCATTCAACTCAGTGAATGTTCATAAAGGCCTACTGTGAGGAAAGGATCACATTAGACAGAATAAAATAAGGATATGGCCCAGACTTTTCTCATCTCGATGAGCCTTTACATTGAACTTGACTGTGGGCGTGATAGGCATGAGATGTTTGGAGGGGACCTCAGCCACCAAGGCCCCTTGAGAGCGCCGTCAGCACAGTCTGCAAGACTGAGAGCAGCAGGGCTTCTGGGAACCTCCACCAGATGGAGGGAAAAATAAATGGGGGCGGGGGGGAGGGGAGCAAAGCAGCCAATATTAGTCAAGATAAAAGAAATCCACAATAGAAGGTCAGCCACTCTAAGAATAACTGCCCTGCAAAAACAAAACCAGGCCAAATATAACGTCTCCTACCCCAGCCAAAAGCATCTGCCTTTTGAAGTTAGTGTTATGTTCCGGCTTTGTTTTGTGTTTTTTCTCCTTTATCCCCTAAAGGTTCTTCTAAGGTAGGCCATTCTCTGTGAGAAGATATATGTGAACAAGGTTTCATTTGACATCTGTTTTCCAACTATTAAATTTGAGGTGGTTATTTTTAGAATAAAAGACCATTTAAGAAATAATTAGGTGCCCATAGATGACACAGACTAGATAGTTTTAAAAAATTTTAGGGTTATGTCTAAAATAATTCAGACTGATTGAAAAGTAGGAGAAAATAAGTTAGATTTGAAGTTTATTAAAATGACCAAATATTTAAAAATCAGCAATATAATGTATCTGCGTGCACCTCAATTTCCCCATTTGCATGCTGTACTGCCGTTTGCAAAACATGGCTCCCCTGACCCTCCCAGCCCCCGAGCCTGGGAGCCAGCTTGAGCAGTTGGGTTTCCGGGAGTGGTGATGTGGTGATGGATTTGCTATGATCCACCCTCACCCTTTCTCCTGTTTCCACCCATGATGAATGGACACCATTACAAGATGGTGACTGGGGTTAGGAGTGCACCTGGGAGAGCTCACCTCCAAGGGGGAATCAAACGCTAGACCTTGGCCTCTTTCGTGTGATGCTTTACCCCGACTGAACCAATCAGAAAAATAAGGATGCTTATCACTGGCTTGCCAAATGGAAGTGCTGTGAGAATGTATTTTTTAAAAAGAAGGAGAAGGATGAAGAAAGATGTTAGACGCTTTGCTTTCACAGTAAAAAAGCTTTACTTTCAAATGCCAGCTAATATTACTATAAATCAGGAACTGAGGCAATGGCATAAAAGCTGTTTCTGTAAGTCAACAACTGGCTAGAGACTACATGTGTCTACAAAATAGGTTTCGTAAGATCATGCTTATTTTAGAAACATCAATACTAAAACAGCAGTAACGGAAAGTGTTTTTCCCCTTAGTTTAAGCACTGCTTGAATATGCATTATACCCAGCCAAGCAATAACTGAACAAATTCCTTTCTTAAATGTCCCCAAGTTCAAGTATATGGCTTCGAGCACACCACAAGCTTTATAAAACAGCCTAGCTTTAAGTGTGCAATAATCGCTCATTTCCTGGCCATTAATTCAGACATCATGCAATCAGTCAAAGACATCCATTTTCCTCTGCTGCTATTTTGGGGACTGCTGCCCTATTGTCATCCCTGCCTGAGACCCCTGACTTAGTCGTCTTTTAATTAGAGCCACCAAGAATGACAGGCGGAGCCAGCCTACTGAGGGTGATCCATCACATGGCTCATTTTGCTCCCTGGCCTCGTAAATGACAGTGTATAAACAGGACATCTTGGATATCAAGATAGCTGCTTAAGGAAACAGAAGAACAAATGGTGACCACCTTGTAAGCTCCTTCCCTGTGATTATAAGCTCTAGTCTAGGGCTGTATTTACTGACACAGTATTTTGATTAATCATCCAAATAAACTTTACCAATGATGATGCTATCGAAGATGTTTTCTCTAAGCTTGCCCTTAAACAAACTGATGTCATAACCTAACACTTGTCCAAGGCATTGATTCAGACCAGTATACTTACACTGAGCAATTGGGACAATTTTTAATGGAACTGCTTTTTAGCTAAATCCTTTCCATGTTGGTCAACAGCTATAGTCCCAGTCCTAGAAAATAAAATAAAAAAAATCAACTCAATACTGGTAGGCTCTTTCTTTGTCATTACAGAAAGCACTACAAATTAGCCTACAGATTGTTACTATTCAATTATATTTTCCAGGTAAAGTTAAAGGAGTTCTTTATGCCTGATTCAATATAACCTTATTATTACAGAGAGAAGATATATAAGACCCAAAGTTATGTTAGGCTGGAACTCAACTCTATACCTATGTGGTGAGCCAGAGAAATGGAGTCTGGAAGTGATGAAGGTCAAGAGGTAAATACTTGGTACTACCTTCCTGGGCTCAATGATTTGCCCATGTCTGGGAAGGTGCATGAAGTTTTGGTCCTCACACTCAATATCTATATATGGCCAGAAAGTTAGATGAAAGGCAACTAAAATAATCATGTGGATGAAGCAGTTTTCATAAAAAGGAAGACTTAAAAAGTTAAGACTCCCTACCCAATAAAGTCTAAAAGGGAAACTGTATTAATGCCTGTGAAATTAAGATAAATAATGAGTAGGCTACCATGATATACTTGCTCATCAAATCCAAGAGATCAAATTCAGATAAAATCCAGCCAACCAGGGCATTTCACATTAACCCAAAACTTGCAGAACCTCCAAACAAGGGCCTTGGAATTTGTATTTTAACAAATGTCTCAGATGGTTCTTATGCTTAGGCAAATTTGGAAATAACTAAAAGTAGAGGCTGCAAACTCCTGGGATGAGCAATATTCATTGCAAAAATGTTCTCACCTGTCCTGCTGTTTGTCTTACATATGCCAATTATCAGTACACAGGACAGCTCGGATCCCCCCAGAGCATGGCTGGGGCTATTTATGGATAACGCAACTGACCCAGAGCTCACCAGCCTCTTCAGCCCAGGGGGACAATAAAGGTTCAAGCAACAGTGTTTGACTGTGATGAGCTCAGCCTCCTTCAAAATGCACCTATGGTTTCCCGAAGTTCTCGCACAGGAACATGATCATTTGAAGTCTTCTTCTCAAGCCACAGGCCATTGAAGGCAGTCACCACAGGGCAGCTGCAGCTCCTGGTGGCCTCCTGGGTTCCCCTCCCCCCCTCCTCTCTCTCAATGCCCTTCTCTAAAGCCCTATCCTTCCTTCAGACTTCAGGACCACAATGGCTGGAGGAAGGGGCTGGGACTTGTGCTACATTCCCGTTCCTGGGTTTACTTTTCCAGGACTGCACTGCTAAAGGCAATCCCCCTAAAAGGACTCGATTTTTACCTGCTTGTCAAAAAATTTATTTTCATATTCACAAGTATCACATTAGGTAATATTCCCAAGCACATAAAAGATATTTTTAAATATGTTTATTTTTCAATTACAGTTGACGTTCAATATTGTTTTATATTAATTTCAAATATACAGCATAGTGGTCAGACCATTATATAACTTACAAAGTGATCCCCCGATAATTTTTGCACACATCTGGCACCATGAAAAGTTATTACAATATTATTGACTATATTCCCTATGCTGTACTTTATATCCCATGACTATTTTGTGACTGCCAATTTGTACTTCGTAATCCCTTCACCTCTCTCACCCAGCCCCCTAACCCCCTGGCAACTCTCAGTTTGTTCTCTATATCTATGAGTCTGTTTTTATTTTGTTTGTTCATTTATTTTGTTAAAAGAGAGAATTTAAAAAAAAACATATCTAGAATATAAATTGTTTTGTCAAATTTCAGCTTGATGGCATTTGAAATACAGAATCAGTCAAATGATGGGGCTTCTGCATCCTAGGAACCACTGGGGAAAGAGCATGCCTTTCCTGGCACTTGCATAAGCCAACAGCAAATGGAAGACATTTACAGCTTAATGAATATGGTACGTAGCTGTTTCTAAAATGTACTTGCATTTCAATAATCTGTATTAAGTGAATATGTTCTAAGTAAGAGCTCAATTGAACTAGAATCATAAATACAACTGCTTCACAAACCAAATCCAAAGCTCCAAAGGTTTCAGGTGAGTGTAGAACCTTCATTAGTCTGAGTCAAATTTGATCCCTTGTTTTTTGGTCATTTCACTGCTTGCTAAAACTGTCAACAAAATGGGGGTTTAATGGGGGGGGGGATGAGGACACATTTGTAATACCTTAACTAATAAAGAATTAAAAAAAAAGATATGAAGTATTTAATAAAATAAAATTGACAAAACTAAAAAAAGATGTTAATAAATCATATGTTAATGTGTCTAAAATAATTATAATAAGGCATTTTGCATTAGAATAAATAAGCAAATAAATTAATATAGAAGAACAACAGTCCCAGAAAAAGACCAAAGCATAGAGGTGGCATTACGAGTGAGCTGGGATGACAGATCCCCTAGAAGTTACAAGCCTTCTGGGCTATTACTTGGGTCTTACAACAGGGGGGTAAGCAGAGATGTCACCAGAGACTTAGAGTCAAGAGGGAGGATAAGGGGGAGGAAAAGGAAGAGGGGGAGGCATGGAGAAGAATGTGATGAAACATAAAAGAGGGGAAAAAAGAGAGAGGATGAGGAGGGGTAAAGACAGAGAGGTGGCCTAAGATTAATGTCCCTTCGCTCTATCCTGACTCTTTGCCACAACCCCCATGGCTAGGATTCAGGATCTGAAGGAGGAGATGACGCACAAATGAAAATACTATACAAGAAATATGAATTTAGAAGGCATGGGGGGGAGGCCAGGTGGAGACCTCTCTCTTGGAGAGGCACACTGAAACCTGGCCTTATCTGCTTTTTATCCAGTTTTAGATACACATCTTTCCCTAGGTAAAGCACAGCATCAGGTAGCAGACAGACAGTCTCTGAGGTCAATAAAGATCAGTAAAGATCAGTAAGTTTCAGTAAACATTTACTTTGAGGCTTTTAGGTCAGGAAATTGCTTTGAGCCACCACTATCTCAACCCACAACTGCACTTTGATAGGTTCTTCCTTCAGCCCTGGTGCTTGTGGTAAATTGTTTTACTCCAAAACGGTGCCTCTCTTGCCATCTAGACTCCTAAGCCTCAGTCCACTACCTCACCCCGCCACACCTCAGGTGGAAGGGGACTTGTAATGAGAGTTTTCCTTCTTATTCCCAGAATTAAGTCTCAAGGTTTATAGTATTTGAAGACTTATTTTTCAACATTGTTAATGAATCCTTCTACTTCATAAGTGAAAAGTATAAAATTCTCATGTGCACTTGTGCTTTTGGTCATTTGGACCAAATCTGATTAAAATCTTCATATGATCCTGAATTTACTATGTACCTGTACTTCATTTTCCAGGAGAGAAATTAGGCTTCAGAGGAAGAATTTGTGGGATCACAGGAGGGTGATTGCAGGTGAGGGCAGGTCAAAGGGCTCAGAAACGTGGGTCCTACCTCATCAGGCCCAACGGGGAGTCTGATGCAGGGAACATGCTGGAAAATAGCAAGTTGAACGAGTACTAGCAGCCAGTTCGTGTGGCTGTGCTGGGTCAAAAACAATCCAACCTCAAGGGGAGAACTCGCTTCCACAGGCTTTCCATTGCCGAGTGGACACTTTTGTCACTGGATGGTGACGAGGCCTGGAGTGGATAAACCTAGGGTCCACCAGTAATGTGTGGGTTCTTGACTGCATGCAAGAAAGATTTCACAACACAGGTGATTGTGAGACTGTTTGTTAAAGTTGTGAATAGTGAAACAAAGGAAAGGCTTAGGAGAGATGAAGCAACAGGAGAGCCAAGGCGCGGGTGCTTGGGGTCACTAGAAACATTATCAGGAAGAGTGGGCCAAGGTGGGGCTGCTGTTACCCACTGTAAAATCAGAGAAATGTGTGGCTGCTTGGGTTCACTGGGTACGTTATCAGGAAGATGTGGACCTAGGCGAGGCTGCATGGTTTCACTAGATACATTATCAGGAAGAAATGGGCCAAGGTCGAGCTGAGGTTAGCTCACTGGAAAATCAGAGAAAGGTGGGGCTGGAGACAGGTGTAGGGGGGTCCGTTATACTTTAGGTGATACACACTCTGGGGGAAGGAGAGAGGAGAGGGTAAGGCATGGGCGTGCTCCCAGCAAGGAGAGGGCTCATGCTGGGTCCTTTGTTTTGAGGGTTTTTAAAGGCTGGGAGTTTAGGGGAGATTTCAATAGAATATTCTTGAGTTTTCCATGTGTTTCCTTTCAGGGTCATGATCTCTACTGATTGGTTGGCACAAGTCATGACAGCTGGTCCTTGTGTGGCCCTCCGGGTTTTGCTGCTTTTCTGAGCCTGGAGCTCAAATACAACAGAGGCCTAGATATTATCTCTAGGGAGGCGACCTTCTGTAACTGGCTGTAAATTGCTTGGCTAGTTTGTTCATCTGTTTGTCTCAGTTTCCCCATTCCACTTGCCAAAGAATTTTCCTAGCTTCTTACTATTTTTGCCTCATTCTAACAAATGTTTCTTCCCCCAACTTAGATCAACGATACAACCCAACAAATAAAGATCATTTTTCATCAAAAGTCTCTCCATTACTAATGACTTAGACCTACCTGCCATGAGTATTTTCTCAAGTAATAAAAGAAAATATTCCTACCTGGACTGCTTCTCCTGTGGGACTTGCCTGCCTCTGACCATGTTGGGGGATGGGAAGGGCCTGGCCCAGGAGTCAGGAGTCTGTTCAGTAATGAATTTGTCTATGACTTGGCTGTGTTCCATTGCAGAACTCACTGTCTTTTTTTAATAGAAGAGTGATTTTCCTTCTTTCCTTCTTTTTTCCTTATCTCCTTTCCTTCCCTTCTTTTCCTTTAATTATTTATTATGGGAAATTTCCATTTCAAACATAAGCAAATGTAGAGAAAATAGTACAACAAGCCCTCATGTACTCATCAGCTTTAACAGCTATCATCATATCACCCATCTTGTTCATCCATACCTCTACTCACCTCACCCCTGACTTCTTCTTTTTTTTAAATCCTCATCCAAGGATATGTGTATTGTTTTTTTTAGAGAGGGGGGATGTATATGGAGAGAGAGAGAAAGAGAAATTGGTTGCTTCCTGTATGCGCCTCAACTGGTGATCAAACTCAAAACCCAGGTATGTACTCAGACTGGGAATCATCCAAACCTGAAACTATTTTTTATTCAGTGTACAGGACAATGCTTCCACCAGCTGAGCCACTGGGCTAGAGTACGCCTGCTTTCTTTTGAAGCAAATCCCTAAACACCAGTAAATTCATCTGTAAATATTTCAGTTACATATCTATTGCTGTTGTCTAGTTGCTAGAAATAGTAATGAATCTGCGAGATCATGATTTTGTGGGTTGACAATTTTGCTTGAGATCAGCTGAACGATTTTTCTATAGTTTTTGTCTGCTTTCTCATGCGGGTGTAGTAAGATGGTGACTTCTTTAGGGTTGGACAGTCCCTGATGGCCTCACTCACATGTCTGACAGTTGACCAAGGAGCCTTAGTTGTCCACCTGGCCTCTCCAGCAGGTTTGCTTGGGCTTGCTCCCAAGGTGGCAGTATTCCATGAGTTCCCTGTGGCAAGAGAAGCCCAATTCAGAATCTTTTAATTAAAGACATTTTTTTAACTTTACTTTTATTTATTTATTTTTTAAATTAAATCTTTATTGTTCAGATTATTACATTGGTTCCTCTTTTTTCCCACCATAACTCCCCTCCACCCAGTTCCCACCCCACCCTCC